TAGAAATTAAGTAGTCTTTAAAAGCCATGTCATTATAATAGTGTAAGTGTAGTACCTCAAAAGGTCTGTGCACGGCCCTGCATCTGTGCTAAAGCCACCCTGTGTTTGTATTGCCTGTGTGTTGGATTAAAGACTTTTGGAGCATTCATCTTCATCTTTGTGCTTTTTATACAGCATAGTGTGACACATTTATTCACTTACCGGATGCTTTTATCCAAAGCGACTTACAAATAATGAATATAAGTGATTTATCATAAAGAGGCAAATAAACACAAGAAGTTATATTTTTATTAGAGCTATTATTAATAATAATACCTTATCTTAATTATGTGCTGAATGGTTTATATAATTTAAACTCTGCTAAGATAACTTGCTACATGAATGCTTTTAATTAATTTAACATACATACATGCTTCTGTATGTAGCAGGTAACATTATGATATTTCAGTCTCTAACCTGAAACAAGCTCATCAGCATATTTATACCCAGAATGCTGTTCTTCAGAAAAGATACTTCCTGTTATGGAGAAGTAGAACCATCAGACACATTCACAATCACAAATTAGCCAAAATCCCCATTTCTTTTGGATCTTATAAAATTAACCCTATATAATTTCAAACGATACACACAAGATCCCACAAATGAATCTATGCAATTTACTCCACTTACCCCTCTTACTGAAATGATTCCACTTTTGATCTCAACACATTAAATGCTTACTCACCCCTCTGAGTGAAGAGACTGTGTCTGTTAGTGGGTCTGTGCTGAATCTCCTCATAAACGGCCTCAGTCGTCGTCCTGTGTCTCCTCTTAGAGAGAGCTGTGAGTGTAGACAGACAAACCTGCTGTCAGTTCACAACACATGACTGATCACACACTGAATAAGACACAATATGACAGTCTCTGGATCTCTCCTACCTCTCCTCATCACTCTGTTCTGCTGAATCAGTATAAGCAGAGGCACTAAGAGCAGAAAGAGCACAACTCCCAGAACAATCACAAGCACTGGGGGGATGGAGAGAAACGCTGCTGGAGGAGTTTGTCAGAATCAGAATCAGAATCAGAAGAGCTTTATTACCAAGTA